CGTGTTGACCAGGATGGTCTCGATCTCTTGACCTCGTGATCCACCCGCCTTGGCCTCCCAAAGTGCTGGGATTACAGGCTTGAGCCACTGCGCCCAGCCGTGAGAATTACATTCTTAGATATTAGGTTCTTCCTGGTGAAACATTGGGACAAGCTCAACAAAACCACTACAGAAATTCAGAAAAGAGGTGATAATTTTGAGCCAGAAAGCAGTGGTCGTTGAGCTGGGCTTTTCAGGCAAAAGTGGGTATATACTCAGCAAAGAAGAGCATCTCATTTCTCAGCAAAGTAGCAGATGGAAACCACAGTCAGTGGGTGGGGCCCATGTGAGGAGCTGCAAGGCTGTAACTGACAACAGAGACAGAGCTCAGCAGGAAACAGGTGGTCTCTGTCCCTCAGCTGTTCTGTTTACACATCCTCATGTATGGCTTAGAGTTGGTCTCCTGAGAAGTGTAAAAGGTGGCCTCAAACCAGGAAGCCCCTTGGCAAAAAAACTGATTTAAAAGTCTCTACTCCCAACAGTTTTATAAATATTATTCAATGCAACCATCTAGGCTGCCAGGAGACTGGCAGTGTCTTCTGTCTAGGCCATTTGAACCCTGGTAGGTAGTGGCTGTGAAGAAGAAAACCTTTTTAAAAAAAGCCTAAAAAGGGTGTATGTAAGTTCGGTCTTGTCATGGTTATTTGTTTTGAGGCAGGCAAATAAGCATGTCAAAAAAAAAAAAAAAAAACCCACCAAAAACCCACAAACCAAACCAAGTGATATGGTTTGGCTCTGTGTCCCCACCCAAATCTCAGGTCGAATTATAATTCCCACTGTTGGGGGAGATACCTAGTGGAAGGCGATGGGATCACGGGGGCGGATTTCCCCCTTGCTGTTCTCACAATAGTGAATGAGGTTTCACGAGATCTGGTTGTTTCAACATGTGTAGCACTTCCCCTTATGCTTTCTCTCTCTCCTGCTGCCATGTGAAGATGTGCCTGCTTCCCATTTGCCTTTCTACCATGATAATGCTTCCTGAGGCCTCCCCAGCCATACCTCCTGTACAGCCTGTGTGTCAATTAAACCTCTTTTCTTTATAAATTACACAGTCTCAGGTAGTTCTTTGTAGCAGTGTGAAAAGGGACCAATACACCAAGTGAATTTGTGAAAATAATTACAGATACAAATTTAAAAGGGCATGATAAAGAAATGGAAAAGCAACTTAGAGTAAAAAAGAAAAAAATCTATAAATTGTGGAAATTTTACATTCTACACCAGTCACACTGGTGGCAGCTGAACCCAGAGGAAATGCCTCTGATGGAGAGGCCACTCCCCCGAGGCCCTTCCTATCCTTAGGCTATTCCAAACCACCTCTAGCTCATTGCAGGGGATAGGGAGAAGACAGGGAGGACAAGATTGGCCAAGCATATAGAAAGAGACGCAGGCCAGGCAGAGTGGCTCACAGCAGTAATCCCAGCACTTTGGGAGGTTGAGGCAGGAGAATTGCTTGAGCTCAGGAGTTTGAGACCAGCCTGGGCAATATAGTGAGATCCTGTCTCCAAAAAATAAAAAATAAAAAAATAAAAACAACAACAAAAAGAGACACATCCATAGAATACATGATCCTCCAGGTATAAAATCTGAGTCTCATGTCCAGCAGCCCACAAAGCCTGCACTTTAGCAAAAGCCAATCTAAGGAGGCAAAGTCCTGTTTTCAGGGACCCTTTTTGCCAGTCTAGTCATTGTGGAGCTTCACAAATGATTCTTGGGTTCCAACCCTGGCCTACTAATCCAGAATTCCTAGGGATGAAGCCCAAGAAAGTATTATGTATTATTTATAAACAATCTCTGCAGGGGTAACAATAGTTTTTTCAAAATATGGTGCTGGCACAACTGAATATCCACATGCAAAAGAATGAAGGTGGAGTCCTTCCTCAAACCACAAAGAAAATTTAACTCAAAATGGATCAAAGTCCTAAACATAAGAGCTAAAACTAAAAAACTATTAGAAGAAAATATGGAGTAGCTCTATATGACCTTGGATTAGACAATGGTTTCTTAGGTATGCCACCAAAAGCACAATGAACTAAAGAAAATACATTAATTTGACTTTATCAAAATTGAAAACTTTTGTGCTTTAAAGGACATTATCAAAAAGTGAAAAGATAACCAAGAGAATCAGAAAAAAAAATCTGCAAATCATATACATGATAAAAGAAGAATATCCAGAATACATACAGGAATCTTGCTACTCCACAATAAAAAGGCAAATACATCAAATAACAAAATGGGCAACAGTTCCAAATAGTTATTTTCCCAAAGTAGAGAGACAGATGGATAATAAGTACATAAAACGATGCTCAACATCGTTTGTAATTAGGGAAATGCAAATCAAGACTACAATGAGGCCGGGTGAGGTGACTCATGCCTGTAATCCCAACATTTTGAAAGGCTGAGGCAGGTGGATCACTTGAGGCCAGGAGTTTGAGATAAGCCTGGCCAACATCCCGTCTCTACCAAAAATACAAGAATTAGCTGGGTGTGGTACTTCATGCCTGTAATCCCAGCTACTAGGGAGGCTGACGCAAGAGAAACCCTTGAACCTAGCAGACAAATGTTGCAGTGAGCTGAAACGGCACCACTGCACTCCAGCCTGGGTGACAGAGCAAGACTCCATCTCAAAAAAAAAACTGGCCGGGTGCGGTGGCTCACGCCTGTAATCCCAGCACTTTTGGGGGCTGAGGCGGGTGGATCACAAGGTCAAGAGATCGAGATCCTGGTCAACATGGTGAAACCCTGTCTCTACTAAAAATACAAAAATTAGCTGGGCATGGTGGCACACGCCTGTAGTCCCAGCTACTTGGGAGGCTGAGGCGGGAGAAATGCTTGAACCCAGAAGGTGGAGGTTGCAGTGAGCCGAGATCGTGCCATTGTACTCCAGCCTGGGTAACAAGAGCAAAACTCCATCTCAAAAAAAAAAAAAAGACTGTAATGAGATACCAATTCACACCCCCTAAAATGACTATAATAAAAAAGACAGTAACAAGTGTTGTAAAGGATGCAGGGTAATTGGAACTCTCATACATTGTTGGTAAAACGCAAAATGGTACAGCTGCTATGGAAAACAATTATCATATGAACCAGTAATACCACTCTTAGATATACCCAAGAATATACATATGGCCATGCAAAAAATAGTACATGAAATATTCATAGTTCTGCATAGCAGCACTATTCATGATAGCCAAAGACTGAAACAACCCAAACGTCCATCCATAAATGAATGGACAAACAAAATGTGGCATATCCACAAAATGGAATATTATTCAAGTCATAAACAGTAATGAAACACTGATACAGGCTACCTCATGGATGCACCTTCAAAACACTATGCTAAGTCAAAGAAGCCAGATACAAAAGGTCATATACTGTATGATTCCAATGATACAAAATGTCCAGAATAGCAAATCCATGGAGACAAGAAGTAAATTAAGTAAATCAGAGGTTTCCATGGGTTGAGGAGAGGGAGGGATAGGTAGTGACTGCTAATGGGCATGGCTGTTCTTTTTGGAGTAATAAAAATGTTCTAGAATTAGAGAGTGGTAAAGTGTGAGTTCACAGCTACCATCTTCTCCTGCCCCAATATGCTGTACCTTGCCTGAAGGCTTCTGATTGTTTTCTTTGTTGTTCCCTGTGGAAAGCCACCGGCAGTAACATCCAATGGCTGCTCAGGAACTGCACTCCAGCTGATGGCTATGAAAAGATAAGATTCTAGGGTTAAAACTGTTCAATTTCCTGTAAATGTCAGAAGTATTTTAATAAAAATATTTCTCTGACTCTACAGACCCATGAGAACTCAATATGATGTCAGAGACAATGACTACTACTTGGATGCTTGGCCGCCAGGATACCATAGTCTAAGTGGTTCATAATTCATTATTAGTATGATAGTTAACAATCACTGAACATTTATTATTTGCTAGAGACAGAGTAAATGCATTAAAAAGAATTCTCATTGAATCTTCCTAATAACCCTGATAAATAATATTCTTCTAATCTGAAGACTAAGAAACTGAGGCCAAGGGAGGGTAAGTAACTTGCCAGGGGTCACAAGAGCATAAACCTGATCCAGTATAGGTGTCTCCAAAGCCCATACTACTCACCTCTAGAGCAGTGAACTGCCTTCCTAGGCTGGGAGGATGCAGACCCTCCGAGGCCACTCTCGGTTAGGGGAGCAGTTACTCCAGGACAGGTCTAACCTGGGTCTCTTACCTGCCCCACAAGGAACAAGTCGACCTGGGCTGTCAGCCATTTTTGCCTGCACTGCACAGCGGCTGTGTTCAAACAGTAAATCTGACTGCAGTATTTTTAGTTCTTGAACTCCAAAACCTTTTGGTAAAGCCGATAAATTCTGACACCTAAATGTAAGGGAAAATTCATTCAGTTTAGGTGCATGCCTAGAGAAAACAGTATCTAGGATTGTGGCTCACATCATCACCCCTGAGCCTTACCAGGTGTGGAGATTTGTTTATTTATTGGGGCAGGGGACAAGTCAGTGTGCCTGAATATAATCAAGACTGTAAGAACCTCATGGCTGGAAGAAGATCCTTCTCTCTCACTCTGAAGGGATAACTGAGAATCAAGTCAACACCCTTCAGGAATGTAACACCAAACTCCATTCCTGATAAAGGCTTTGAGAAACTTGAAAAGTTTAAGCAGAAACATTAAAGTGTTAGCACCTGCTTCCTGGGGAATTCTTCAAACACACCAAAACCCAAAATTATCCTATAATATAAGAGCTTCATTTTTTCTCTTGTGTCTTTGAACAAACTAGATGCCTACATGATGCCGGTCTAGAATGAAGCAGATAGCAACTGCAAGTACCAGAATAGGAAAAACAGAAAACATCCTGGGTACAGTGCCTAGTGTTGACTTTTTCTTTTGTAAAAAACCATCTTTATAGGGATATAGTTCACATACCATAAATTTTACCCATTTAAAGTGGATAATTCAATTTTTTAAATATATTCACAGGACTGCACAACTATCACGGTAATGTAATTTCAGGAATTTTCATCACTCCAAAAAGAAACCTTGTACCTACTGGCATTCACTTTCTATTCCCTGGTTATCACTGAAATTTTTTTTTTTTTCTTTTCAAAATAGGGTCCCTGTTGCTCAGGCTGGAGTGCAACTGCATGATCTTGGCTCACTGCAACCTCTTCCCCCAGGTCTCAAGCGATCCTCCCACCTCCGCCTCCCAAGCAGCTGAGACTATAGGCATGCCTAATTTTTTCTTTTCTTTTTTTTTTTTTTTGAGACAGACTCTAGTTCTGTCACCCAGGTTGGAGTACAATGGCATGATCTCAGCTCACTGCAACCTCTGTCTCTCGGGTTCAAGTGATTCAACTGCCTTAGCCGGGATTACAGGCGCCTGCCACCACACCTGGCTAATTTTTATATTTTTAGTTGACATGGGGTTTCACTGTGTTGGCCAGGCTGGTCTTGAACTCCTGACCTTGTGATCCATCCACCTCAGCACCCTAAAGTGCTGGGATTACAAACATGAGCCACCGCACCTGGCCTAATTTTTAATTTTTTTGTAGAGATGGGGTTGCCATATTGCCCAGGCTTGTCTTGAACTCCTGGGCTGAAGCAATCCTTCCACTCCAGCATCCCACAGTGCTGGTATTACAGGTGTGAGGCACAGCATTTAGCCCCTGGTAACCACTAAGCTATTATCTGCCTTTATGGATATTTCACATAAGTATACAATATGCAATTTATCTCACTTGGCATGATATTTTCAAGTTCATTCACGTTGTAGCATTTATCAGTACTTCAGTTCTTTTTATGGCCAAATTATATTCCATTGTATGGATATATCACATTTGATTTATCCATTCATCCACTGATGCATTATTTGTCTCACTTTTTGACTATTACAAATAATGCTGCTGTGAACATTTATATACAGGTTTTTGTTATATAGATAATTTTTTTTTTTGAGACAGGGCTTCACTCTACTGCCTAGCATGGAGTAAAGTGGTGCAATCACGATTCACTGCAGCCTCAACCTTCTTTGGCTCTGGTGATCCTCCCACATCAGCTCCCCATGCAGCTGGGACTACAAGTGTGTGCCACCATGCCTGGCTAAGTTTTGTATTTTTTGTAGACACGGGGTTTCCTCAAGTTGCTCAGGCTGGTCTTGAATTTCTGGACTCAAGCAATCTGCCTGACTTGGCCTCCCAAGATGCTAGGATTATAGGTGTGAGCTACTGTACCTGACCTACTTGTGTGAATGTATGTTTTCATTTCTCTTGGGTTTACCTAGGAGTGGAATTGCTGGGTCATATCTTGAGGCTTCACATCCGATATGGGCCCACAATGCTTGCCCTGGCCATGGCTTTGCCCTGCCCTCATTTACTATAGCATTAACTGAGTTTGGCTGCCTCCTTTAGGGAAACCGTACTTCAGTGATCACCCTTTGTCTTCTAACTTTAGACAAATTTAAACTAATGTTTAGGGCTGGGTGAGGTGGCTTACACCTATAATCCCAGCACTTTGGCAGGCCAAGGTAGGAGAACTGCTGAAGTCCAGGAGTTCAAGACCAGCCTGGGTAACATAACACCTGTCTCTACAAAAAAAAATATATATATATAAAAATCAGCCAAGTGTGGTGACTCGTGCCTATGATATTAGCTATTTGGGAGGTTGAGGCAGCAGGATCACTTGAGCCCAGGAACTGGAGGCTGTAGTGAACTATGATTGTACCACTGTACTTCAGCCTAGGTGAGACCCAGTGAAACCTTGTCTCTACAAAAAAATTCTGAAAACCCCAAACTAACGTTTAGGGTTAAAAAACATATATATATATATATATATATATATATATATATATATATAAATAATGGCAATGTATGTACACTGTAGATAATTAAAAATACAGTAAAAACAAAGAAGAAAAAACCACCAATAATACAACTCAGATTATTAATAATACCTTGGTGCTCATCCTCTTACAATCTTTCCCATGTGCATATGTACTTTAAGACCAAAATTGGCTTTTTGTCTTCTAAACTGTTCTTTAAACACTATGAACATATTTCCACATTAAATATTCATCAATATTATTATCATTTTATTTGAGACAGGGTCTCTCACCCAGGCTGGAGTGCAGTGGAGCGATCTTGGCTCACTGCAGCTTCAATCTTCCCAGGCTTACGTGATCCTCCCATCTCAGCCTCCCTATTAGCTAGGACTACAGGTTTGTGCCACCACACCTGGCTAGTTTTTCTATTTTTTGTAGAGACGGGGTTTCCCCATGTTACCTAGGCTGGTCTAGAACTTCTGGGCTCAAGCAATCTGCCCGCCTCAACCTCCCAAAGTGCTAGGATTACAGGTGTGAGCCACTGTGCCCAGCCATTCATCAATATTATTTTTAATAACACACAAAAAATCACTTAATTTCCTATTACTGGGCATTTCAGTTGTTTATTTTTTATTTTTTAAAAAATTATTATATACAAAGCTAAATGTTCAAATACTTTAGTTATTTCCTTAAGATAAATTCCTGGAAGAGGAACTGCTGGATCAAAAGGTAAGGAGGTTCTTTTTTTTTTTTTTTTTGAGATGGAGTTTTGCTCTTGTTACCCAGGCTGGAGTGCAATGGCGCGATCTTGGCTCACCGCA